CTTATTTAAATAAAAATTTTCTTTTTTTATTAGTATTTTTCTAATGAATTTTTTTAGTAATTTATTAGATAAATTTTTATTAATTAGTTTTAAAAAAAATTTTAGAATATATTTCTTTAAAGAAATTATTTAATTATAATTAAAATATTTTCTTTTGATTTGAATTAAATTAAAGATCTCCATTCCAGATAGTTTTTTAATATTTAAAGAATTGTGTACCTGTGATCGGCTTCTGTAAATCACGTGGATTCGAACATAGATATCTAAAAAAAAAATTTATTAACTCCACACCTCCAACATCATTTGCTTTAGATCAAAATGGCTGGCCGAGGACTTCCAATGATGGTATGCCTTCTTAATACTGATTTCCCGAGCGATACTTGATTTGTGAATATTAGCTCGCGTTTTTCACCGCGTTATTTATTTAGTAATATCATAAATATTATAACAAATAAAACTATTAAACCTCTGTATATTTATTTATTATAATTATAAACAATATTTTGTCAAAATTTTATTAGCAACCCCAAATTATCTTGCTCAAAGAGGGAACAGATTCTTCGCAAGGGCGCGGTCAACTTTTATCCAATATCAATGCATGTTTGGCAGTAGTAGATACTGTTCGAACAACTTTGGGGCCAAGAGGAATGGATAAATTGATTGTCGATGAAAAGGGTATGTACTGTCGAGGTATTCATGATTTTAAAATGCAATGCCTAATTAATGTTAAATTCTTTATAGGAGAAGTTACTATTTCAAATGATGGGGCTACGATTATGAAACTTCTTGACATTGTACACCCTGCTGCAAAAACGCTCGTTGACATTGCTAGATCACAAGATGCTGAAGTACGATCTTATATTGACAAGTCATTTTCTGGGCTGCTATCACGTGATTCACCGATTTTATATAATTTATTTTAGGTTGGTGACGGAACTACAAGTGTAGTCTTGCTCGCAGGTGAATTGTTAAAGGAAGTTAAGGGATATATCGAAGAGGGTGTCAGTCCTCATGTTATTATTAAGGGTTATAGGAAGGCTGCTCAGTTGGTATAACATTTTTTCATTAAAATTCTTTATACTCCAGGAATGATTATGTAACGATCATTAATTTTTCTTACGCATAGGCGATAAATAAAATCAAAGAAATTGCCGTCAAGATTGAGCGTACTGATGATTCGTAAGTTTTAATAACTTTTGTTTTGAAAAAGATTGTAATTCTTCAACCTTTTTTAAATTATTATTATTTATAGTCAATTTCGAGATCTTCTTTCGAAATGTGCTAGAACTGCCATGTCTTCAAAGCTCATTCGCTCGCATGAAGATTTCTTTACAAAAATGGTCGTTGATGCTGTATTGAAGCTGGACCAAGAATTAAATGAAAAATTGATTGGTATAAAGAGAGTTCCAGGCGGTGCCATGGAAGTAAGCTTAACGTATTAATATGTATATATTTTTCACTTCATAGTTATTTATTCAAACTCTTCATTATGCAGGATTCACTTCTCGTTAATGGAGTCGCTTTCAAAAAAACGTTTTCATATGCTGGATTTGAACAACAGCCAAAATCCTTCAAAAATCCTAAAATTTTGTCACTGAATGTTGAATTAGAATTAAAAGCTGAAAAGGACAATGCTGAAGTCAGGGTCGAAGATGTCGCTGTATGTGTCGAATCTTAATGAAATCAAATTCATCTTAATTATGATAGTAATTCTTTATAAATATTAGGAATATCAAGCGATTGTTGATGCTGAATGGTCCATCATATTTTCCAAACTCGATGCTATTGTTAATACTGGAGCTAAAGTAGTACTTTCAAAACTACCGATTGGTGATTTGGCAACTCAATATTTTGCCGACAGAGATATCTTTTGCGCAGGCCGAGTACCTGCTGAAGATCTTAATCGTGTCGTAAGTGCAGTTGGTGGTTCAATTCAAACCACCGTTTCTGATATCGCAGAAAAACATTTAGGCACGTGTGAATATTTCGAAGAGAAACAAATTGGTGGTGAAAGATTTAATCTCTTTCAAGGTTGTCCGGCAGCAAAAACCTGTACACTTATTCTAAGAGGTGGCGCGGAACAATTTATTGCAGAGGTTGAAAGAAGTTTGCATGATGCAATCATGATAGTAAAAAGATGCATCAAGAATAATTTGATAGTTGCGGGTGGTGGTGCAACGGAGGTTCGAAAATTTTCTTTATTTAAACAAATTATTTTCCTTAATCATTCATTACCTAATTATACTGGATATTTTTTTTTCGTTGAAATATTATAAAAGATGGAAATATCCAAATATCTCCGAGAGCATTCTCGAACCATTGAAGGCAAACAACAATTGATTATCAGCGCTTTTGCACGTGCATTGGAAGTTATTCCTCGTCAATTATGTGATAATGCAGGTTTTGACGCCACCGATATCTTGAATAATCTAAGAATGAAACATGCCCAAGGTAATACTAATTGTCAAAGTTTAATTTTATATATTCTTATCATATCGAAAAAATTTTAATTAATATTTCTATATAGGAGCTGTTTGGTATGGTGTGGATATCAATAATGAATCCATTACTGATAATTATGAAGCATTTGTCTGGGAGCCTGCACTTGTAAAAACCAATGCAATTGCTGCTGCTGCAGAGGCAGCATGTTTACTTTTAAGTGTGGATGAAACTGTAAGAAATCCGGCATCAGAGAAACCTCAGTCTGGTCCTCCAATGCCAAGAGGTGGAGCACAACGAGCACTTAGAGGTCGTGGCCGTGGAATTCCTCGTAGATAAAGAAAAAAAATGAAAGCAGGTGTTTAATTGGACATAATAGAGTGTAAAGATAAAATTATTTCTTCATATACATATTGATATAAGCGCTCGATTTATCTATTTTATGTTTCCATTGTATCACTACTTTGTCGGTCATTACATACGATGCCCATACATTTAAAACCTTCACTTTCAATTTTATTACTAGCTATTAGTAGAAATTGGAAGGAAAAAAAAAAAAATGTTTAATTAATAAAATTGAATAATAATAATAGCAATTTAATAACAATTCCTTTCTTACCCTTCCATAAACGAACTTTTCCGTCATCTCCAGCGGAAGACAAGATAGTGCCCGTTACATTCCATTTGACTTTCCATACCTGTAGAGAATCAAACATTTTATAAGTATATATAGACACGAAATAAAATAAATTAGGTATTATAACATTACCTCCGTATTGTGGTTGAGATCCGATATTAATTCGATAGCGAAACCATCTTTATTGTCTAGCAATTTATAAATCCTGACTCGATGATCTTTTGAAGCAGTTGCGATAAGATGATAACTCCTAATAGAAATAATCAATTAAAAAAAAAGGATCATATAAGTTCATATTTTCTGTAATCTTTACCTTCCCATATTTGGAGCCCAAGCTACATCGTGAATTAAATCTTGATGACCATCCAATACTTCACATGGACGCCATTTATTATGTTGGTCGTAACGAAATATCTTAAAGAAAAAAAAAAATTAAAAAAAAAATAAAGATAATAAATTCTATATTATAAATAAAACACGTATTACTAATTGAATACTACTTTGGCGTTATTCTCTTTGCCACAACCTATTACGATCATTGGAGATTGATAACGAGACGGACACCATGATAGACAATAATTTCCTTCTGCTTCTTTGAGAGTGGTTGTATTAGAATTCCTAGACAAATGAACATTCACTTCGTCCATTAAAGTCCAATGTGCTAAATTGGATACTTCAAGAGCTTCATATATTCTAAGAACACCATCTGCAGCAATTGAAGCCTGAGAGAGATATTCATAAAAATATGTACATTTAAGATGAATCCTATTGAACAAGTTTTAATAAATTTACCAATCTTAATCCCCAGAAGTTTGGAGCGAACTCGACATCCTGAACGGATCCTCTACTATCCACCAAACGCGCTTTTTCAAACCAACGTTTTCCGCTATTCTTTGGTTCTAAAATTAAATATATACTTGAAGTTTTAATTAATGAAATCAAATAATTAAATAATTAAATTATCGCGTTAATTCAATTGAAATACCATGCTCTTGTTCTTCCCAAATGCGAATGGAACGGTCGAAAGAGCACGAAGCAATTACTTGACCAAACTCGGGGTGAGCCCAAACGACTTTTAGTACGGAGCATTCATGTGCCTAAAAGATTCAAAGTTTACGTTATAATTAAATTAAAAAAAATAACTAGAATTAAGAGTTAACATACTTTCCAAGAATCAATTTGTTCCCAATTGTTCGTATCTGGGCTCATTTCCCATACTTTAAGTTTTTGGTCGGAAGAACAGGTTACAAGTCGCTTTCCATAAAAGTCGTAAGCAACATCGTGTATTAAATCGTCATGTAAACTATCAAAATGTTGAACAGACATTATAAAGAGAGTCGCGACAAAAAAACTCAAAACCTGCTATTTAAATTGAATTGTCCGAAACGATGTCCGAGATTCTGAATTTTTGGGGGAGTACAATCATATGATTATTTCACCAATTGGGGTAATATACTTTATTAAATTGTGCATCCATTAAAAAAAAAAAAAAAAAAAAAAAAAAAAAAAATTATCCCCTTCTTCGCGATCTATATTAATTTGTTCATTTTTATATATTTGTGTAATTTAGTAGAATCTGTTAAAAAATGACGCTGGTGTCGGAACTTAAACAGAGATTATTTCTCCCTTATTATATCATAAATTTGTTATTTTGTTCCACATTTTTTATTATTCGTTATGTACCTGCATTAAATTTTATTTTGGATTTTTCTCTTGAGGTATTAATTAACTCAAAGTCTTTAATTTGATTTTTAAATAAATATTCTAATAAGTTATAATTCGATCAAATATAAATGGTTAGCCATCAGAAACAACTGTATATTTTGTAATTGGGGCTCTTATTTTGTTAAAATTTAAATCTACAGCCAGCGCAGAAGAATGGTTATCAGTATCCTTTTTATATCTAAAATTATTGAATGTAATAATGTTATATTTATTTGGTAAAACGTTGTGGGCGATTTTATACGCAATATCATGGAGTGGTAATCAAAAGTTTTCCTTTTTCGTGATCTATACCATATCATTCGAATGATTTAGAATTAAAATTTTTTTCCTTTTTTTAGCTTTATTTGCAGTTTTGCCACAACCTTCATATCAGGGACCTACGAAAATAATTGAATTAAGTGAACAAGATTTAAATGAGATTAAACGTGGTGGATATAAACTTCATAAATTTAAAGAAATCACAGATGAAGAACATGAAAAGATTAAACAAAGTGAAAACGGTAAAGGTAAAGAACAAGTCGATCAACATTGGATAATATTTTTTTACGTTACATGGAGTCCGGCTTGTAGAATTTTCGAATCAACGGTAGCAAAAACATCTGTAAAGTAAGTAATATATTCTTTATATGTTTTTTTTCTTTATTAAAACATCAAGCGAAAAAAAGATTATTATTTTTTTTTTAAAAAAAATAATAAAGGTATACAACAACAGATGTTCATTTTGGCAAAATCGATTTGGATTTCTATCCAAACGTGGCTCAAGAATACGACATTTCATTGTCACCTACAAGTTTAGATTTGCCTGCTTTAGTTTATTTTAAAAATGGCAGAGAAAATTCTAGATTACCTAAAAATGTTAAAGTTGATGATGTTCAACTGGACCAAATAACAAATAAAACACTTAAAAGTGCAAAGGTCACCTGGGATCGATTAGGATGGGATCGTAGTATGGTTTGTATTGTTCTTTTTCCCGAGAAGTTTTTTTCACATGACATTTCAGCAAGGATACAAAAATATATATATATGTATATGTCATGATAATTAATTTGTATTTTTTTCCCCCCTCCTGTCATAATAGAAATCTATAATTACAGCATTTAAACTTGATACTATAAGTAAAACCGTATAATCATGGATATTTCTTGATATAAATTTGCGAACATTCTCCCTTTAATCTTTTGAAATGTGTATTTTTTTTCCCCCTAATATTTTAAAAACGTGATGTTTAATTATAACCGAACCAGACAAATGGACATGTACAAATTAAACGCGTAATTACAACAAATAACCAATAAACAATTAATAAGTGTCTTTTAATTATCTGTGGAAATCCTCAAAAAATTTCTACGCCAAAAAAAAAAAGCATCACGTTATGTTCGTATTACCATTTGGTGATTACACAAAAGAGTTAAGATAATCAGATTTGTGGTGGCGGTAGTTCAGTAGTAAATGATGATGGTGATGACATCATTGATGATGAATTGACATCAAAAGAACCCTTTCCTTCATTAATTGAATTCGCGGTTGTAACAGATTTGTTGAGATGGTTGTTAATTTCGTGATTATGAGATAAATTTGTGGAAATGATTTCCCATAAACCAGTGTTTGCATTAACGGAAGCACGAATTAGAAAAGGACAATCACAACGTTGTGAAGGACGATTCCGTATCGGTTTAATACCAGATTTTTTACTACTTGGAGTACCAGAGCGTGAACAAACTATCTCTCTCCATCTAACAATTCCTTCCCTATTACGCTTTACAGTATTTAAACGCATAGTAAAGCCATTTCTCGTGGAAAATTCTTGAACTGCTACTACAAAGTCCGTATGAGAGGTGAAGGTCGTGCCTTGCTTTAACCCGGTGTTGTTTTTAAAAGTCTGCCCTGTATTGCTCGTATTTGAATATGAAACAAGACCGTTATTATTTAGTGGTGAAGTGTTTGTTTGGTGAAGTTGTGCTATGACTGGTGACAGTGGTACCGCAATGGGTTGCACCGCGATTGGTTCTAAACAATTATTAACTGTCGTTGTTCCTTTTGTTGTTGTATCTACGTTAACCTCTTTTGGCATTATTTCTTTATATTCGTTGAGGTTTTTAAATTTTGAAAGTCCCTCTTTCTATGCTTTTCTTAAAAAAGAAAACCGTTAGCTAAAAAAAAAAAGAGACCGAAGATTGATTCGACTCTTTGCTATCAGGAGGAGATCCTTTTTTTTTGAACGAGGCGAAGTTATATATGACGTATGGCTTAGATGTTATAATAGTCATAAGCCTCATGAGCAATGTATTAGCCACGGTACGTGACAACTATGAAAGATATCAGCCACGACGACACAAGAATTTACAGCAAAAAAAAAAATTTTATTTGTTTGGTTTTGTTTAAAAAAAAAAAAAAAAATTGTTTAAATAAGATGAATTAATAACATTAAATTCCTTTCAAGTGATCAGTATGGACAATAACATCTAAATTCCATCTTCCGTTAGGATTAGCCGCGTTTAAAACATTAATAGCTTCTTCATTTTTTCTTTGAATTTCACTTTTCTCGCAATCTGCTTCATCATTACTAACGGTAATTTGTATATCAGGAACTTCATCATCTTCTTTCGGTATCCATTTAGCTCTGGATACTGCACAGTAACCAGCATCTCTCCAACTGTTAACTTTAGAACAAGCTTCTTGAATAATATTAAAACAGAACCCATGAGTAACAAGAATCAATACCACATCGGTATTTAATTTTCTATCTTGCTTAATTTTTTGAATATATGGAGAAGAAATTTCTAATAAAGCATTTTGACACCTTTTAACTACTTCATGTATTCCTTCGGGATATTTAGGAAGTATACTAGATACTGGTGTATAAGATTCATCAAATTCAAAGGGATATTCATCATTTTCTTTACCAATCTTTTCACGTAATTCTTCAAATCTTTTATCAATAATATAGTTTGGTACAGCTTGAGCATAATAAGCTGAATTATGCCATTCTGCTAATGATGAATCGATTCTAATTTTTATCTTTGATTCTGGCTTTGACTCAAATATTCCTTTTGCAATATTAATGGCTGTTTCGGTCGTACGTGCAAACGGGCTCGTTGTAATGTTATACTCTACGTTCCTTTTTGTTGAAACGTTTTCTTGTTGAAGTGTATTTATAAAGGTTCCGGTTTGCTTTGCTTGTCGTTTTCCTCTTGGGGTTAATGGTGGGTCATATGGAGTTGTTGAGGTGTAAAGAAAACTTGGCTCTACATGGTCTATACGTTCTCCATGTCTTATTACGTATAATGCAAGTGTCATTTTTATTTTTTTATTTTCCGAAAATTTTTAACGGAATGAATAAGGATTTGATTGAATTTATAGAGAATTTTTTTACTGACGGAGTTTCATAACCCGATAATCAGTGAGATGCATAATTTACATGCACACAGGTACCGGACTCCGGTTCCCGGATTGTTCTTTTACTAATTTAAGTCATTGCAGAACTTGTGTAAAGAAAAATCTTGAGAATGAACATTAGAAATCCGTTTTTTTCTTTACATATCAAAATTAGCTTCGTTATAGAACGGTTAATGATCATTACATGATGATATATATTTTTACAATATAAAATTAATTACGTATGTACAGTACAGTAATTTCCTTTAAAATAATTTTTATTTTAAATAAAATAATTATTATATAATCGATTTCGGAAAAATTGCTTTTTGCCAATCACGGTAAAACTTTTTGGATGAAATTTTATTACTTTCTATCTATTTTCTTTTTGAAAATTCTACTAACTTGTTCTATTAATTTAACTATAATATGAAAAATCTGTGTACTTATCTGATTTAAAGTATCTAATCAAAATATCAAAAATATGTATTCTATTGTGTAAGTGCTAGTAAAATTAATATATTTAAAATAAAATACTATTATTATTCTTATTACATCTTTAATTTTCTTGCATTTTAATAAAAAGATAAATAATATAAGACTTGTATTTAAAGATAAAAAAATTAAATTATATTTATACTACTTTTATGATTTAGTAATATATATAATAATTGCAAAAAGAACTTTTAAATATTAATAATATTTATTTATTAAATTATATATCCAAAATTTATTTTACTATATAAAGTCCTTTATTAAAAAATTATATTAAAATAAAAAAGGTTTTAGAATACTAATAATAAAATTTTATATTAATTTCTATTAATATTAACCTAGTTATTAAAACTATATAACAAGTTTTATTTAAATTTCAACGATTCACTTGTATTTTTATATTTATATATATTTTATTTAATAATTTATTTTCTTATTTAAAAATATAAAGAATCTTTAAAGATATTTAAAAAAATAAAAATTAAATAAAAATAGATTTTTAATAATACAGTCAACTCTTGATATAGCGAACTCTTGATATAACAAATTTTTTGAACAAATGGGACCTTTGCAATAGAAAGGGATGAAACTCAAAAAAAAATAAAAAATGAGTTAATAATAAATCTGAACAAATTATAGTATTTGAAACATTTTTGGCTTAT